ATACTCTCTTTGGAAAAAGTCAGGCAGAGACTCTTTCTGGTACCTCTTCTAGTTGAAGTCGAACGTATACATCTTCTAGTTTAGATGAAATCAAGCTTAGATTTCTTTCTAATACTCTTTTTGGAAAAGGTCAGGCATAAACTCTTTCCGCTACCTCTTCTAGTTGAAGTCGGGCATAAAAATCTTCTAGTTTGGATGAAATCAAACGTAGATTTCTTTCTAATACTCTTTTTGGAAAAGGTTAGGCGTAGACTCTTTCTGGCACCTTTTCTAGTTGAAGTCGGGCATAGACATCTTCTAGTTTGGATGAAATCAAGCGTAGATTTCTTTCTAATACTCTTTTTGGAAAAGGTAAGGCATAGATTCTTTGCGGTACCTCTTCTAGTTGAAGTCGGGCATATACATCTTCTAGTTTGGATGAAATCAAGCATATATTTCTTTCTAATACTCTTTTTGGAAAAGGTCATGCGTAGACTCTATCCAGTACCTCTTCTAGTTGAAGTTGGGCGTATACATATTCTAGTTCGGATGAAATCAATTGTAGATTTCTTTCTGATACTCTCTTTGGAAAAAGTCAGACGAAGACTCTTTCTGGTACCTTATCTAGTTGAAGTTGGGCGTGGACATCTTCTAGTTTGGATGAAATTAAGCGTAGATTTTTTTCTAATACTATTTTTGGAAAAGGTCAGGTGTAGACTCTTTTTGGTACATCTTCTAGTTGAAGTCGTGCGTAGACATCTTCTAGTTTGGATGAAATCAAGCGTAGATTTCTTTCTAATACTCTTTTTGGAAAAGGTCAGGCGTAGACTCTTTCTGGTACCTCTTCTAGTTGAAGTCGGGCGTAGACATCTTCTAGTTTGGATGAAATCAGGCATAGATTTATTTTTTATACTCTTTTTGGAAAACTCAAGCGTAGACTCTTTCTGGTACCTCTCCTATTTGAAGTTGGGCATAAACATCTTTTTGTTTGGATGAAATCAAGCGTAGATTTCTTTTTGATGCTCTTTTCGGAAAATTCAGACGTAGACTCTTTCCAGTACCTCTTCTGATGCTCTCTTTGGAAAAATTCAGACGTAGACCAATTCCAAATACATCTTCTAAGACGAAGTCGAGTGTATACTTAGTCTGATTTTCCTATCAATAGTTATCCTGGATGGCATCTATAAGCCCATCTCCGATGACTCTTCGTCACCTCTCCCAATGGAATCTTTAAGCCTATTCCCGATACAATCAACCAACAATATTACTTCATGCACAAGCGAGTGCAAATTTCTGGGAACTTAAGTGTTCAATCATTTTCTACCTTTAAGTCACGAATGGAGAACAAGCCAATCTAACTCTTCTGGTTTAAGAAGATTGAGCAGGGGCAGTTGTTGTACCCCAAAATTTTCCCTCTCATTTTTAGAGACAGTTAATTAAAGACACCTCCTCATGCTCATAAAGGTCTCAAGTACTCAAAGGCCACTCAAGGGTTGACCAGTCAAACCTCCTCCTAAGCAATGGGTCCATGACTAGGATTTTGTGTCTCTCAAGGAAGATTGGGTTTCAAAGGTCTCAAGTGGTTTTCGGGGTTCTCTAAAGGTCTTTAACAATGTTCATGTCAAGTTTCAAGCCTTGCATCACAAGTTTTCCTAGTCAATAGCTCAGATGATTGAAAATCAACTGTATCGGTTAAAAGTCAACTATGGTCAACATACAGTCAAACTTCAATATTTTTGGTCAACATCAATATTTTGAAGTGATATTTATCATTTGATCAAGGGTTGATTATGATTCCTCAAGGAAATCCCTCAAATCATCAAAAGTCAAAAGTTACCAAATTAAGGTTTCCTTAGGAGAAGTCAACTAAACTTTGACCAAGCATAACTTTCACATGCTTTATCAACTTTTCCACAACCAAAGGGAATTTTGAAGGAAATTCAATTCTATACAGCTTTGTATCTGAATTCTCAAATCCAAAAAGTGCTTCATTTGAGAGATATGGGCCCATACATTATAGGTCATTTCAAAAGTCAACAAAAAGACACTTTTTGTCAAGGCAACTTACATCAAGATAAATTCTCCAAATACAAAAACAATAAAAAGATCGATTGTAAAGGATATCTTGAGCTTTCTAAAACGTCCAAGATCACCTTCAAAAGATGAAAATTGAGAGAGTTATGACCAGTGCAAGTTGTGAAATTTTGGTAAAATGCATGAAATGCAAAGTGAGCAAACTTCAAATTTTGAACTAGTGGGCCTAACTTTTGATCTTCAAACATGTTCCCAATGTGTTAATGGACCTCTAAATCCATTCACATATTTATTTTTATTTTTATTTCTTTTATTTAAAATTTTGTTAATTTTAATGCAAATAAATCAAATAGAATGTAAAAGCATTGGGATAAGGCGCATGGGTTGTTGATTTCAATTACATGGAGGGCCAAAAACACATGCCAAACATGCCAAAACCGTGAGAGACCCATATGGAAGCATATCTTCATTTTTTTGGAAAGTTTTCTATTGGTTTTTGGAAATAATTCATGCCATGATTGCATTGTCTTTTTGCCATATTTGTTCACCCTACTCCTGCCTCTATATAAGCATAACAAGACTAGATGCAATAGACACAAAAGCTGCTCCCAAAAAACACTCCAAAATTTCCAAAATTCTCAAAACTAGGGAAAGCTATAAACTGTAGTTGCAGTCACAATCAAAACAAATCAGCATTTTCATTCACTTCCAGGAGCATTATAGGGTATGTTTGGATCATTTGTAATGATCCAAAGAGAATGAAATGAGCATACATGCTACGTCGTTTTTCCTAATTTCTTGCAAATTTATTTTTCTGTTTTCATTTTGTTTTATTGCATACTACCACCACTAATGATCTTCCGAGGTACAATAATGCAAGATATATTTATGTTATTATTTCCCTATCTTTGCAGGTTTATCATAGAATGATCAAATCCCATTTTTCAAACACCAAGCACGCATGGTTCATATGGCAGAGGTTGGAGACTGTAAATAGAAGGGTGTGGATTAAAACCCGAGCGCCTGCACCTTTCTTTTCTTCTTTTCAATACTTTTGAACCCTTTCCTATTTTTCTATTTCATTTTGTCTAGTTAATTTAATTTTTCTTTTTAGTCATTTTCTTTAATCAATAAAATCACAAAAAAATATAATAAAATCATAACTAGGCATTTAATAGGTTAATTTAATTTCTAGACAATATTTTTCTTAATTAATTAATTATACATAGGTTTCATTTATAATTATTTAAATCTTTAATTTAGGTTTAAAGTCTATTTATTTTATAATTCAAATCAAACCAAAAATGCACAAAAAAAATTAATTTCTAATCTTTTAGATGTTAAGATTTTTAAAAATGATTTTGCAAATATTTTGTATTTACTTTTGCTATTTATTTTATTAGAAAAAAATGTATAGGTCGCATACGTTTTCTTGTAATAGTTTAGCGTTTAAATTCCTGCAAAGTTGTAAATATTGTAAATCTCCCAAAGCCATGTAATAGTGGTAGGTCTTTACTTTCCCGCATTTTATTTTCTTGGGCCTATATTTTGTATGCCTTTTATGTATATATAATTGTTAGCTAAATAGGATTGTATGGCAAGATAATAAAACAAAACACTAGAAAACCTAATCAAGACAAATTAACTGAAAACAAATCACTTTTCACACACGCACCTCTAGGGTGACTCCACTTGTTGCCTTCGGATAAAACAATCATGTCCCTCGAACGTGGGACGCTTTAGAATAGACCCTCGGTTAAAAGATCGTAGTCCCTCGATAACCCTTCAATGCTGCCTCGGTAAACGATCTTAGTCCCTTACGATAAATTACTAAGGTGCCCTACGAGTTTCCTTTATGACTGTACGATGACTCACGCCTGTCCCTTAAACATCCAACGATAGGGCTTCCTACTAACGTATGGTAGGATAACACTATCTAAAGGAAAAGGAAAATAACATGAAATACTTTTGAGTAGGTAGATAACTTTTAATCGCTTGCTCACAAAAAATCTCTTCTCACACAAACACTTTTCTGAATTATTTTCAAAACAAACACTTTGTATGCATTCTCAACTGATACGAGAATTATTAGAAAGTTGCCGAAATTATGCATTTTCAAAATATTTTCAAACTTACGCATTCATAAAGCATTTTCAAAAGTGAGCTAGCGATTAAGAGCTCGTAGATAACTACAGATGAAAACACTGCTAATACATTCCATTTTCATAACCTACCCCTCAAACTCGGAAAAATTATTAAAGGTCTTTCCTGTTATTTTCACTCTTTTCTTTATTAGATAAAAGAACAGTCGATGGAGACTCTTGCTATCCGTAATATTTTCGATAAAATACAAAACCAAAAGCTAGTTCTCCCACTGTATTACACTATGAGTATAACAAGTGTAACTTATCATGAGGTTTTTCTTGTCTCTCACACAAAATTTCTCTAACAACTGTATAACTTCTTTAAATGTTAAAAATTATTTGGACAACTTCCTTTCAAGGCATGTCCTCTTATGACACAACACTTCCTCTTCATATTTCTCTCCTCATAATAGAAGGACACTTTGATTGTGAGAATCTCTCTGCTATCCACCATTTTAGATATGATGAACACCATGTCTAAGGCATTTGTCACTACTTTAAGCATTCTAGTTTTTCATAATTACCAATGAATGCTTGCTCATCCTTCTTATGATTTGGAAACTGAATTTCTACTATGTCACTCAAGATGTCTGACACATCCTGATAGATATATTTCTTACCATCTTTAAGCATTTGGTTACTCCACATGAATTGAGTGCCACTCTTTTCAGCAAGTAAACCTAGGGAATCACAGGTGGATTCCTTCATTTTCTTTACTTGAAAACCAAGAATGTGATAAAGTTCCCTTATATAACTTATCTCAAAACCATACTTCATTTGTTACATAAAATGTTGCACCATCGAGTCTGACATCCATCTAACACAACGGATATTCTCCAATACCTAATCACTTTCTTTATTTTTCCAAGATTGTCTTGGAGTCATCCTTTCAACGGGTATCCACTTCACAAATTTTCTCTTCAACAAATTTTTGCAGGGATCAACATCTTCATTAGCATATTCACTAACATGTTTATACCCAACAAGAACTTCATTATTTACAACATCATCAAAGTTTTCATTCACCTTCACCACATGATCCTTTTCATGAGTACTCTTGTCATGAAACTTGGTTAATTTATCCATGGTACACAGAAGGTCTTTATTTTCCATATTCAAGTACTTATTAATTGAGGCACTTTTCACATCCATATGATAAATATTCAACTTAAAAAAACATGATGGTCTTGGAATCAATTTGATGACTTCAAGATGGGCAATAAGATCATATAAACTTATATCTTCATCAGCATATGTCATAGAGGTTCTTGGTTCAAAACTTTCATTATTCTAGGTAGACATATAATTTATAGATTGCGTGTGCTTTGAAATCAATCTATACTCCTTACCAATAGTAGTACAACTGCTTTCATTCACACCTTCACCCAATGCCTTCACATCTTCAAATGCATGATCATGGTAATTGAAAACACCACCATCAAATATAACAATAGCATCCTCCACATCTTCATGGTCATGATCATCATTCTCCTTATGCACTTGAGACTCTGTCAACATGTCAGACATGATGTCTTCCACATCCTTATCACTATCTGGATTCCTCAAATTTATTTGCTGGGATTCTTCACCATAAGACATTAGACTGTCATGATAATTTCTAATAATTCTACCAGAAGCTAGATCAAACTTAAAAATAAGTGGAATGTTATGCAGAGAAATATTTAATACATACATCTTGTAGATAGACTTCAATATACTATTTTCAGCTTCACCAAACAACATATCATGTTTTTGGTAATCACACCTTCAGAATCGTGAGAAAATATTTTAATAGGATGAATTATGCCATCACCACTATTATCCTCTAACTTCTTCTTATGAACCACTATAGGTTGTTCAAAATTGGGAGGAATTCCAGCATGACCATCAATCTTCCCTTTAATGACACAATCCTTATGAGATAATTTAGAATCCTGAGTAAGATGTTAAGACATCTTGTTTGACATCTTAGTTATTCCTTCCTCTCTGAGTGTTTTATTTATCAATCTAGAGACCTTTTAAACCCCTGATGTCTTCCTCAAGTATGACCTTCTTCATAAGAACTCCTTTACTCTTGTTGGTGACGCCGCCTTTGGAATTATAGAAGTTCATATTACTCCTTTGATCACATAGATGATTTATTTTGTTCACATTGAATACTGGGCCTTTCCTTAGTAGAACCTCCTCTCAAATAGGATTGTTCAAATACCATAAGCCCTTGATTCTTCCCTTTTCTCTATTTCCATGAGTGACATGAGTTGTATTTTCCCTAGACACGTCCCTAGTACCTCCACTATTATAATAATGTCCTTCACTAGAGGAACCTATGTGCCCAATATGGGTGACGAAGCCAGTTGAAGTAGTATTGTGTTTCCACTTTTTCTTGGCATGAACTTTCCTAAATCTTCTGATCTTCAGCTTCACCAGACTATCATGTTGAGGATATCCATGCAGCTCATAACAACAAGTCCGTATATGTTCATATTTTCCCTAATGGTGACATTTCAGAGGCAAGTTCTTGTTACTACTATGAATATGTAACACATGTTCTACAAGATGATGTGACATGTGGTCCAACCTCAAAATATCAATCTTATTTTAAAGTAGAACAATCTTCTCTGAAGTAATCTTCATTTCTTTTATGCTCATCCCAACACTTATTCTCTTCATATATCTGGCCATATCTCTAAACACCATCATTTCATCAAGTATATTTGAACTATTTTTCAAATTACTTTCAGACTCTATCAAGTTTCCTAGTTTGGAGTCTAGTGAAGAAACATATATTTCTACTCATGTGATGGTTGATTCAAGCTTTTTTGTTTCCTTATAAAGAACACTAATCTTACTAGTTGATCATAACCTGTAAGCTGGCCAGAGAATGATCTTTGACGGGCTAGAAAGTCGAGGAGAAAAAAGGGGGATGGAGGTTGTACTTGCAAGGCACTCCGATGATTAAGTAAGTGTGGGAGCCAAGATATACAAGCTGAATATTAGGGTTAAGGTGTGAGATTTTGAATATTGGATACACGGCCCTCACATGTGTGAGGGTTTATATAATGCCCCTGAAGCTTGGCCATTGGTCTATATTTTTGGGCCTAGATATGTGGGTCCGTAAGAATAGGTAACTGTCAGGACTCGGTCAAAACGGGTAGGTGTGCCTGTAACTAGCCAGTCAAAATTGGAAGTTTTCTGGTTGTCTGCTCGACTCGTGTCGTGCTGACGGGAGACATTTGCTGATTGGGCCAGGCATGCATGTCGAGCATAGTTGGTCGTGTGCTTAGGGCGTGGTCGGCCAGAATGATAGGCCATTGTTATTGGGTCTTGCCAAGGGTAGAAGCGGATTGGGCCAATTCTGATTATTGGGCCAGTCTAGAATAGGAGCCCCCATTTTGATGCTTCTAGGCACATGAGTGATGACTTAGAATCAGCCCATGAAATAGGGATGCTTCTTACTCGATATTTCTTGAGGGGTATAAATGATGTTCTTCATGTTTGCCTCGTGGGGAGAGGAACGGTTGAGCTATTTTTTTTAGGAGCAATGTTGTGCAAGGAGTTTAGAAACATTCCCGGTGTTCGTTTTGTATGGAGAATAGCAATTGGTTGAAGTCCTGGGAGATTACGTGCCACACTTGTATAAAGCCACGTGATGTCAGAGAGGTGTGTTGATGGCTAGCCTATGGACTAGGGCTTAATGATGATGCCCTTTAGAGTTCTCTATGCGCGTGTCCGCCCATGCGCTGGTGAACCTATACTATAAAAGGAGGGGAGAGAGTTTCATGTACACTTTTTGCCTGCCTTTCAGTTGCTCGATACCTTCATTCTTGCTCGACTTCATCCGTATTTGCTCAACTTCATTTGTTCCAATATTTTCGATTATTACATTGTTCGCTGCCATCTCTTTTTGTTGTTCCTTTATTTAATCTGGTAAGTTCCATTGATCCCCCTTTTTGTTGCAATTGCCACTTCCATTATAATTTATATTTTAAGGTTTTCCTTTGAAAATGCATGCGGTTAGGGTTTAGGGTTATTGATTTCTTAGAAATTCTGGAGAAATATTGGCTGGATACGATGGTTTTGGTGGGTGAGGCCATCGAGGATACCAAGTGTCCTCCCTGGGGGAGTTTTTGGAACCTCAATGGTGTCAGAGGTATGTAGGAAATTTTTACATGAATCTAACTAGCTTGGTAGGGGAAGAGAGACCAGCTAGTAGTCGTTTAAGTGAGGGCACTGGTCAGGGACAGGGTCCTTGTTCCTCGGCGCCCTTTCACTTTATTAGTGGTGAAAGGGTGGATTTGACATTGACGTCGAACTCACTTTTATCCTCTACTTTTTAGGTACGATGACTACTAGTTCCAGCGACGAGTTTCTCAATGAGCCTAGTGGTTCTGCCCAGAGTTCCACCGAGGACACCTCTAACGAGACGAGCATTTCTAGGTCGTATGAGTCTGCTCTGCGTGCATTGGAGCCGAGGTTGTCTGGGAAATAGGCTGTAGTGGGGGATATAGAGATGGCTCCTGCCAAACAAGTAGAAGAGGCCCCTGTTGAGCAAGTGCCCATGGTAGAGGAGGATCCGCTGGCTTGGGTCACGTCAAGCCAATTGAAGTATGTCTCCCACTTCATGGAGTATCCTGACGAGCTATTTACCTTGTTAGACCTAGAGATGGATCACGAGGGTGCAGAGGAGCAATGGGAGATTTATATCCCCCATAAGACAAGTCGTATTTGTTCTCAGTTTAAAGCTTGTTGGTTCCCTATGTACGAGATTTTGTTCAGGGAGATGGGCTTACAGCTTCCCTTCTCGAACTTTCAGGTGGAAGTCTTTAGGCATCTTCGTCGGGCTTCGTCCTAGCTGCATCCGAACTCAATTTCCTTCATGTGGGCTTTTGAGATCGTGCGTGACCATATGGAAATCGAAGTTATCGTCCCTCTTTTCTTCTATTGTTTTCATCTTCAGAGGCAAATGATTGGCGGCCAATATGGTTGGATTGCCCTGAAGTAGGGGAACGACAAAATTTTCAAGGCATGCATGGAGTCCGTTTGTTTTTTCAAAGCGAAGTATATGCTTATTCAGCCCATCTTAGAGAGGGCGTTATTGAAAGTCTCCAGAGTTGCTCCAGCATATGATGAAAATGAAGCCCCCGTACTGAACGAGGAGGGGAAGAATACGAACAAGCTGGTGCCCAAGTTCCATTTTCATTGAACTAATAAGCATTACGAGAAGGGGACTAATGTCTATGTTTGGAAGAAGGATCAAATCAGTGTTGAGGACCTGGCTAGCTTTGATCGCCTTTGCGCATTTGTTGCGGGGTTCTCTTCTGTCCAACATACAAGCAGAGATGGGAAGCCAGTTGTTGACAAGGATGGGAAGAAGGTTTATGAATTGGACTTGATATGCATCAAGGAGATCCTCGAGAGCGAAGATCATATGGTGTATCTTGGTAGTCTCTTTTACAATATTATTTTCTTTGTATGCATGACATAGTCGCTTTTCTGTATATTGATTATTATTTGTTGTTTCCTCACAGATAAGATGAATCTCGCTCAAGAGCACTAGGAAGAGGCGGCTGCTTCCAACCTGAAGAAGGCTCAGAAAAGTTCCAAGTCCTCTCTGCCCGACACAAGGATGGCTCCTCAGTCAGGCTCAGGTGCTTTGTCAATGGCTCTAAAGGCCGGGGAACTTTCCCCTCTACGGGTATCCTCGAGGCTTAAGAGGCAACACGACAAGGGCACTGTCGACCTGACCGGGGAGAAGGAGAAGGGAAAATACGAGCTTCCACCTTGTTGGCACAACAGGAATTTCTTCAAGGGTTCCTGCTTGTATCTTCTTCAGGGAGAGTTCCTTTTACCCGAGGGGTTGAAGTTTAAAAAATGCATTTTTTGGTAAAACAAAATTTGTAATAATTTGATATCAACTCAGGAATTATAGTAAGCCATACAGGAGTCAGGATACCTTTTTGTAACAGTATTTTTTCAAAGTAACCCATGCATCACTAAGGACTTTGAAGGGTTGTAACATGACCTGGTTCACGGTTTAAGAAACAAAGGATAAAGGCTCAAAGTTTATTTGTACCCAAACCATTCTCCATGATGTCCTTCTATCCTATACTCAGTTAATTATGAATTTAAGTTCCAATAGAGTTTGAAATTATAGTGTGACAAAGTTGTTTTTGAAAACTGTTTTGAAAGTGTTTGTGTGAAAAGATTTTGATATTTTTGAGCAAGTACCTAGGAACTATCTACCTACTCGAAAAAAAGGCTGCTCGTTTTTTCTCATTTCCTTTAAACAGCGCTATCCTACTATTAAGGAGTAGGTAGCCCTATCCTTGGAGTTTAAGGGACAATCGAAAGGGATGTTTTTACAGTCACAAAAGCAATGGTTAGGAAACTTTAGTAATTACCCTAAAGTCCTAAAGATCTTTCCGAGGCAACATTCGAATGGGTCATTTTGATCTTTTTTGGACTGGAGGGTGACCACTAAAACTCCCTATGCTTCATCACCATTTATCGAAGGCAACCGAAGTGGTGATACCCTAGGGGTGCGTATGTGCGAGTGTATTTGATTTAAGATATATTAGTCTTTGTGTTTAGTTTTCTAGTGATTGGTTTTATCTTGTTCATGCAATCCTATTAGCCATACATCTAATAGTTAATATATGTACAAAATATAAAGTGCGAAAATGTAAATTCCTACACTATTACATGGCTTCGGGGAGAAGGATTTAATTACAAGTCCAAAACTGAGAGTAATATAAAGGAAAACAATAAAAATGCCTTATAGTTTGGCTAAATTGATATGTACAGGAATATAAAAGTGTGAAAGAAGAAAATGAACGCGAGATAGGAAAATGCGTAAAGAAAACTTTTTGAGGTTTTTTGAATTAGTTTTAAGAAAAGAAAAGGCATGTTTTTTGTTTGGTTTTTAATTTACGAAAATATTAAATTAAAGTCTAATTAATAACATAAAATAAACCTAATTAATATTTTTTGATTTTTGAATATTAAAGAAAATAAGAATTATGAAATATAAAACTTAGTTCTACTTAATCATTACTTTAGGAAAATATTAATTAATTAATTAATTAATTAATGATCTATTTAATAAAAGTTAA